TGTGTGTGTGTGTGTGTGTGCGTGTGTGTGTGCACGCGCGCCAAGCATAAGAAGGTTACCTTCAAAAGCATTTTATAGGCCTCCAATAAACGATTGGCTGCTGGTCCAAATCCATGAAGCTGCGGAACCTCCATCATGTGTGTCCATGGACGAATTTCCTAACACAAGCAATTTTTAATAAGCTTCCCTAGATGTTGAGTGTGAGAGATAGCATTGTCTTAGCGAGAGACGAGCTAATTCCGATCATCCAATTTCACATGGAAGGTCAAAATTAAAAATCAACTAAGGTCATGTTAATCACTTAAAAAGTCATTTTTGGCACTTTCAGGTCACTATTTAAGGACTCCTTCAATACTTCTATGGTAATGCTAGATCATGAAATTCTTAGTATTACTAGTGTATATAAAATTACACATTATACCCAGTCAGACGCTAAAAGTCTAAATAAAACCAGTCCAGACTCTGACGGGACCAGAAAACCATGCACCCTAAACTACAATTACAAGTTTCAGCAGTTGCAGTACAGTGACCACATCACCATTGATATTGATGAAACAGCTATTCTGGTCTAGATGCTCAAATTATGGGATACTCCTTGTATGTTTTAAAAAATAAAGTTAAAATAAAAGTGAACAATTAACAATAAAAGGCAGAGTAGTTTTTGGATAGTTGTAATTGTAAGAATAGTTTTGAACAATTCTGTAAAAATAAAAATAAAAAAATAGTGGAGAGAATATGAGCAATTTGAGAAGTGGTTATAGAGACAAAATTGTCAAAAAATGTGTATACAAAACAAGATAATCCCTTATTAGTGTGTGTCTGTGTATATATACATATATATATATATATATATATAGAAGAATAGAACTTTGAGTAATTGAAATTAAAAGCAATGATAGTGCCATTTAGGGATGGCAATGGGGCCCATGGGGGCGGGTAATAGTAAACCCGCCCCCGCCTCGCTGTATAAAAATTGGCCTCATACCCACCTAATATCCACGCGGGTATCCATTAAGCGGGTATCCATGAATTTCTTGAATACCCACGGATATCCATAGATATCCATGGATATTTATAAATTTTTTAAGAAATTAAAAAAATTATATTACAAATAATTTTAAATTTATATTTAATGTCATTGAAATATTAAAAATAATAATTCAATGTTAATTTTGAATTTGTATTTAGCATTAATTCTGTTGAAATAATAATAAAGATGCAAGATAATCAATCACTTAAAATACAACAATCTTACACAAGTATGTGAAAGTCTCATATCACAAAGCTATAATAATTCAATCTCATAATTCCAAACGTAAGTAAACAACTTAAAATACATAAATCTTATTGATCCAATCAAAGTTATAAAATTAATCAATTTACATCCAACATAATTATATGAAAAGAAAATAAGATGAGAGTGTAACTTTAGGTTTATGTGGAACAAGGATAATTAGGATATTTAATAAATATTATTAAACGGTACCCGCGGGTATGGATATCATCATCCCCGCCCCCACCCCATTTATAAACGGGTAAAAAATTATCCGTCCCCATTATCTACGGGTACCTAATTATCCTATCCATTTATTATCCGTAGCGGATTTTACCCACAGATACCCACGGGTACAGGTATTTTTGTCATCCCTAGTGCCATTTATTACAACAACTGTTTCCTTACTTATAGCTAAATATTTATTTGGCCGGATTCTAACAAATTGGATAATAGGGTTTGCAACAAAAATTAGAGCAAATTTATAAAAAACCTTGGTGTAAATCAAATTGAATGTTCTAGCTGTCTCTAGGAAAGACTCCAAATGTGCCCGCAGTTGGGCTTCCACCTCAGTATACTCCTCATCTGGATTGTAAGCATGCTACAAGATAGCAACAATATCAAAATAAGTACAATAATATTATATAAAAAAATCAAGAATTAGAAAATAAGAGACTAAGACTAAAATGGAAAAACAGCACACAAAGTCAAGAAACATGGCAAGAGACAAAGAAAAAGAGACTAGAGACTTCCGAGAAAACAAGAAATGAAAATTTAAAGGCTTGTATGGTTCAAAAAAAAGCTTCTATTTTAATTTCCTATTTCATAAATCAGTACAAAAATGTCGCATGTATCCATTTTGTTCCCTGTTTCTAAAGATTTCTATAGGAAACAATGAAAATTGAAAACAAGGCCGTTTAAAACATGAGGTGGTGAATACAAGATGACTTTGTTGTATTTGTGAAAACAGGAAACGAAAAAGGTCTGTTGGTTTAAGAACAAGGTTCTATTTTCATTCCTGTGTTCACAATTCATAAAATAACTACATAAATGTTACCTTATTTTCACTTTACCTCCAGCCTTCAAAGATTTGTACAAAAAATGGTGAAAACAATAAAATCTTATTTTTGCTATTTCCTGTACAATTCTTTGAAGATAAGAAGTAAGGTAAAATATGTCTTTAGTCCCTCAAAATATTTCAAATTGTTGATTTTAATCCTATAAAAATTTAATATGTTTACTCCCCACATTTATCTAAAGTGGTGTGATTTTTAGTCCTTCATTAGGGACTAAAAATGTGTGCTTTTGGATAAATGCAAGGACTAAAACCATATTGAATTTTTATAGTAACGAAAACTAACATTTTAAAATATTTTGAGGGATAAAAACATATTTCACTCTATGAAATAAAAACATGGTAGAATTTCTGTAATTTTTGTGAAGATGGAAAATGAAAACAGAACCTTTTCTTAAACAAAACAGGAGGGTACATTGGATTTGTTTTTCTTTTTCCATCATTATTGGATGATATATTCACCAATAATTATAAAATTGTCATTTTGTTTTCACTTTATTTCCTATTTTCAAAAATTTGCAAAGAAAATAACAATGGACTCAGAAGACTAATTCAATTGATCACCCTAACTATACTATAGATGCAAAATGACGAGAGAAAATCAAATTGCAGCAATCAAATAGCGAAGTAAATTTTTACTAGCTTTTGGTAGATTAGTTTATTAGCTTATAAGACCAGTTGCCTAAATCTACATAACAACAATATTTGCAAAACAGTAGCTCTTAACAAGAAATGCCTGACAACTGAACAAAAGTTCAACTGGCAAAGCATCAGAAGAGGGAAATCATAACATAATGCAGTGTCAATGAGAAACTTAGTTCATGTCCTCATTTAGAGAATCCCTTGAATGGATTGAAAAGGCAGGAACAAGAAAGGCTAAGAAAGAGGATCAAGGAAGAAAGTTAGGTGTCTGGAAACTATTTACCAAGAAACAGAAAAACTATTACTGTCATAGGTTTATTTTGGTAAAAACAAAATTGTCAAACATACAGTACATTAACTAGGTGAAACCATGTGGCTGAAAAGAAAAAAAATTTCATGCCTCTGATCAATTTCCATCTATTCATACAGGTATCTTACCATATGACTATGAAAGACAAGCAGTGGGTTGAGAAGTTCAGTATACCTTGGATGCCAGGTCATCAACTTTTTGTTGAAGATTCAACAATATTTTTGATTGTTCAGAAAACTTTGACTCCAGCTCAGAAACATCTGGCCTGAAAATAGTGTGATAAAAAGTTAGAATGTCACTACATCTCATTAGATTGAATTTCTTTTACTGGCAAAAGATAAATTATTTCCCTCAAATGAACTTCCAATTGTACATATTTTATTTTATATTTGTATACTTTACATAAATTGAATGAAAAAAAATTCAACTTCTAAATCCACAGTGTGAGCAAGATTTATATGGGTGCTACTTAAGGAAACACAATAAACTTAAAAAAAAAAAAAAAAAAAAAAAAAAAAAAAAAAAAGCTCAATTGATGGCCTCATTTTTAATTTTTTTATGTTTAATGTGTAAGGGTGTGTTTGGGAAAACTACGAAAATTAGATTAGTTCAATAATTGATAATATGTATATTGATTATTGTTATAATTGATTATAATCAGAATGAATTTTTGTTTGGATAAGTTGGCTGAAAAGCAATTTTGAGATGTTTAATTTTGTTTGAATATAACAAAAAAATCAACTTTTATATAGTAAATTAGTTTCAGGAAAAAAATAAAAAGGTTTTGAAAAATAATCATAAACTTCAAATTTTTAGATTCTTGAAACAACTTGTTTTTCAGAAGAAAAAAAAATGTTCACAAATTTAATCTAGTTTCCCAAACATGCAGATTTTTTTAGAAATACAACTTTTTTCAATAAAACAAGCTGAAAATATGAGAAATCATCATTCCCAAACATGCGCTAAGCCTGTGAATGCATATGCAGCTTCAATACCTTTTACTTAACTAAAGAAAGCAAACAAGTGTCAGTTATCTATCTATCAAGTTTAGTTTCTAAGCAATAGGTTACTTTTATTTATTTTTTTAGAAAAATAAGTTCCACTGGCAGAAGTAGCGAATGTAAAACTAAGGAGAGGATAAAATATCCTTCAAGGCCAGATTGCATCATTTTATTCTGCCACTCATCAATAAATTATTTCTGGAGTTCTTATTACAGTTAAGTCTCTTAACATAAGCAACGTGCTCTATGAACAAAATAAAGCGCAAAACATTTGATGATATTCTACATAATTGAAGATCAACACAAAAGATTAGTCTTCCATCTAACATTGAACAAAAGTTAATTCTATGGACACCAGACTAAAATTTTCAATGGTATTCATCAATTTATATTTCACAATCTTAATATTTGAAGAGAAAAAATTATTAAATGTCAGTTTCCTGTGCATAAGCATGGTATTCAATTTCAATATTTCATTATTTTGTACTTGGAATATTTTTCCCTGAACTTAAAGCAATATTTGATGTGCACCATAAACCATACAAAGGCACTTCTGTTTGGGACCCAGAGGCCCAAGGCCCAATATTAAAAATGCATTTTAAAAGGAAATGTAAAAACTTAGGTACTGATGGTGATTTCAGTAGCTTTAAATAATAGGGTTGTATGTTGTTTAGAAAGTGTCTGGAATTATCATTGTAATAACTGGAAACAGTTGAGAAAAGGGAGATTTCCCTTGGCAAAGGAATAAAACACTTAATTTTGATTTTTTGGTTATCGTGATCTTTTCTTGTTCAGTTTGTTTCTTTCTTTTATAAAGAATCCATCAATTTTGGTCTGACCTGCCAGATTCCAAAGAACTGACCAGTGGAGATGGAGTCAAGAATTGGAGCGTTGGAGAAAACTGTTTCAAGAATTGAAACCTCAGTGGAATATCTAAAAAAAGAATGGCAGCAGAATAAACCTTACAACTCCCTGAATTTTGCCAAAATGTGGCGACAATTCAAGACATCAAGCAGCTGATGGCAGATGTTAAATTGATGCAGAAGCAGGATGGTGGGGGAGATGAGGAGAGTGTAGACGGCAAAGAAGAAAAGGCAGATGGTTCAACTTCTATGGGGCCAAAAAAAGTAGTCAGTAAGTCATACAATGAGGCATTAAAGGGGAATGATGATGGTCGATCTTGGGCCAAGAAGGTTGAATTTCCAATCTTTGAAGATGTGGACCCCATTGGGTGGATAGCTCAGGCAGAAAAGTTTTTCGAGGTGCACGAAATACATCCTACTGAAAAGTTGCAACTGGCTTTTGTTAGCATGAAAGGGGTGGCAATACACTGGTTTCGGATTTCGCGCCAGAAGAACCTGAATTCAACTTGGAAAGGTTTTCCCAATGCCTTAATTCAAAGATTTGGGGAGAATTAAAGCAGTAATGTTTTTGAAAGGTTAGCGACCTTAAGGCAAGAAGAATCCGTTGGGTTACGAAAATCAGGTTGTTCAACTAATAAGCTGTAAAATCAGGTTGCCATGGGTTTCAAAAATGGATGTTTTGTGTCAGGGAAGGTTTTCAGGCCAATTCCAAGACCCCGCCGATAAGCATAGGCGGCCATCTACTGTTCAGGTGGGGGATTGGGTCTAAATTCAAATTCAACCCCATAGACAGGATTTTCTACCACATAGGCAGGGTTCTTTAGCAAAAAGAACACACCCAAAGCTTGCTGTACGCTATTACAGACCTTTCTTAGTTACTAAACAGATGGGATCAGTTTCTTTTCAGCTTGAACTTCCAGCTCAAGCAAACATTCACCCAGTATTTCATGTGTCAACTTAAGAAGATGATTGCGGAGCATCCGGTAGAAACCTGACTTCCCTCAGATTTGCAAATGGAGGCAGAAACAGTGATTCCAAAGGCTATTCTAGCTACCAGAAATATCAGTAGAAGAGGAGAATCAGTAGCCCAAATTCTGATTCAGTGGGAAAACAAGTCAGCAGACAAGGCCACATGGGAAGACACCAATTCATCCAGGAGCAGTTTCCTTCACTCAACCTTGGGGACAAGGTTGATTTTACAGGGGGGGGGGGGGGGGGGTTT